GGGATGCGGACAGCGGGAAGCTGACAGCGGAAAGCTGACAGCGGACAGCGGAAGCGGACAGCGGGAAGCGGACAGCGGACAGCGTTCAGCGGACAGCGGACAGCGGACAACGGGAAGCGGGAAGCGGACAGCGGGAAGCGGACAGCGGACAGCGGACAGCGGGAAGCGGACAGCGGGAAGCGGACAGCGGACAGCGGACAGCGGGAAGCGGAGAGCGGGGAGCGGGAAGCGGACAGCGAAAAGCAGGCAGCGAACAGCGGGAAGCGGACAGCGGACAGCGGACAGCGGACAGCGGATAACGGGAAGCGGACAGCGGGAAGCGGACAGCGGGATGCGGACAGCGGGAAGCGGACAGCGGACAGCGGGAAGCGGACAGCGGGAAGCGGACAGCGGACAGCGTTCAGCGGACAGCGGACAGCGGGAAGCGGGAAGCGGACAGCGGGAAGCGGACAGCGGACAGCGGCAAGCGGACAGCGGGAAGCGGACAGCGGGAAGCGGACAGCGGACAGCGGGAAGCAGACAGCGGGAAACGGACAGCGGACAGCGGGAAGCGGACAGCGGACAGCGTGAAGCGGAGAGCGGGAAGCGGACAGCGAAAAGCGGGCAGCGAACAGCGGGAAGCGGACAGCGGACAGCGGACAGCGGACAGCGAAAAGCGGACAGCGGATAACGGGAAGCGGACAGCGAGAAGCGGACAGCGGGAAGCGGACAGCGGGAAGCGGACAGCGGACAGCGGGAAGCGGACAGCGGGAAGTGGACAGCGAGAAGTGGACAGCGAGAAGCGGACAGCGGACAGCGGGAAGCGGACAGCGAGAAGCGGACAGCGAAAAGCGGACGGCGGACAGCGGGATGCGGACAGCGAAAAGCGGGCAGCGAACAGCGGATAGCGGACAGCGGACAGCGAACAGCGGGAAGCGGGAAGCGGACAGCGGGAAGCGGACAGCGGACAGCGGACAGCGGGAAGCGGACAGCGGGAAACGGACAGCGGACAGCGGGAAGCGGACAGCGGACAGCGGACAGCGGGAAGCGGAGAGCGGGAAGCGGACAGCGGACAGCGGGAAGCGGACAGCGGGAAGCGGACAGCGGGAAGCGGACAGCGGGAAGCGGACAGCGGGAAGCGGACAGCGAGAAGCGGACAGCGAAAAGCGGACGGCGGACAGCGGGATGCGGACAGCGAAAAGCGGGCAGCGAACAGCGGACAGCGGACAGCGGACAGCGGACAGCGGACAGCGGACAGCGGGAAGCGGGAAGCGGACAGCGGGAAGCGGACAGCTGACAGCGGACAGCGGGAAGCGGACAGCGGGAAACGGACAGCGGACAGCGGGAAGCGGACAGCGGACAGCGGACAGCGGGAAGCGGAGAGCGGGAAGAGGACAGCGGACAGCGGGAAGCGGACAGCGGGAAGCGGACAGCGGGAAGCGGACAGCGGGAAGCGGACAGCGAAAAGCGGACAGCGGATAGCGGGAAGCGGACAGCGAGAAGCGGACAGCGAAAAGCGGACGGCGGACAGCGGGATGCGGACAGCGGACAGCGGGAAGCGGACAGCGGACAGCGGGAAGCGGACAACGGACAGCGGGAAGCGGACAGAGGACAGCGGGAAGCGGACAGAGGACAGCGGGAAGCGAACAGCGGGAAGCGGACAGCGGACAGCAGCAGCGGGCATTTTTTTTTTTTTTTTTTTTTTAGTTAATTCTCTTTCCTTTTACAGTTTCGAGCTTTCGCTCATCTCTGTCTTTTGCCTCTAATTTTTCTATTTCCCTACTTTTATGTTTAAGGAGCCTTTTATTTAAACTTTATTCTTTATTTTAATTTGTTTCTCTTTTTATTCTAATTTGTTCCCTTCTTTTTCTTATTTTTTTTTTCTTTTTCAGAATGTGGGTCTCTCAGCCGACATCAGCAGCATAGGGCAGCGGGCAGCAGCAGCGGACAGCGAGCAGCGGGCGGCGAGCGGCAACAGTAAAACAATCGAATCGTTCGTAATTCATATCATTAGCATAATATACAATGAATTTTCTACGTTATATATTGAATCGAAATTGCGCGAAAGAGGAAAAAAAAGTACAGGCCAATGAATAGACATTTCCATCCTTTACTAAAAAAAAAGAAATTAAAAATATCTCTTAATTTTATTTCTATTTCTTCGGGCAAGTCTACATATATGACCAATATGATTAATTGATTCCATCTTTATATATTTATCATTATGTGCTATTAATTAAAGCCGTAGACAATATTGAGAAATCAAAGTTGCGCGCTGGAATGGCCATGCGCAGAAACGAGTGCGCACTGATTCGGCCGCCATGTTGGCGCGTGACTGCTCGTCACTGCAACGTCAATCGCGTCATACGGCCGCCATGTTGGCGCGTGAATCGGAGTCATACACAGTTACACGGATCGTCGTACGTCCGCATTTTTCGCATCTTTTAACCGTTTTTAAACGAATATCGCGAGTGAACGAGCGTCGAGAGTGTCGAAGGATGATCGCGCGACTTTTATAGTGTGTCGATGGAAACGCGCGACAGCGATTTTTGACGATATTCAGTGATGGCGTCATTGCGAAGATGGAGCGAAGTTGCGTCGCGTTATTCGCGCCCTTGATGATGATTATCGAATGCGAGCGAATATCAGGAGTGCCGAATAAAGTGTCGCGCGTTCGCGTCGTGTGGATTTGTGTGCATCAAGATCGGAATAGGACGTCCCGAGGCGAGCGAACTGTCCCGAGGAGGCCTGTGGAACAGCCGGTGAGTAGATTTAATTTATCATATTTGCGTGATAATTTGTGCTCATTCGACGCTTATACAGCATCGCGATGTCCCGAATTACATTCGGACAAATCGGCATCATAATTCGATTCGGTGCAATTCAAATAAAGTCGATCGCGTGAAGACGGTTATGCTAGAAGCGATTTCAAATTTATTTTGTATACGCGCGCGCAGTGCTGCACAGCCTATCTCGTAGGGCTGCCAACTGTTAAACGATAAATTTGTTTGATCTAACCTAACCTAACCTAACTTAACCTCTCAGTGTCTTTGGATATCGAATGTAAATACAAGCGTATGCTCCTGGATTTTATCATGCTTTAAAAAATAATATTTAATTATTTCATTAGTGTATTACATTTTATTACGTAGTATATTAATCGTATTAAATGTGTGACGTACAGTTTTACACATTTTAATGAGGAGCATATAATATAATTGGTTAGGTTAGATTAAATTAAAACAAGCTGGTGTGATTCATTTAACGTAATAGGATTAATTTGACGAATGTGCAGCTATTGAAGTTACATGGTATTTGTGGACACATTTTTAAAGTAATCATGAGTGTCTTATCACATCTCGATTACATGAAATTAAAATATAAAATATTTATGTATTCCACATTAACGTTATTCATTACAAGTACTATATTACTACATTACAAATACTTTTCTTATATCTCAATCATATTCAACCATTTATTTCATCGAAGCTTTTCATATATCGCAGACAATATGATACTGCGTGTGGAATTTTACACAGGTAATACATGGCACAAAAATAATTTGTTCTAAAGTATTGTGTGCATTTCTCAAAAATAAATCAAATTAAATTATTTTCAGAATCCAAAAATCGCTACATTGCCAGGATTGTATCTTATTATAACTGCGATATTATCACCTTTTAATATGTGTGCGCAGTATTACATATATAAAATATATAAATTTATTTGAAACGTATGGAAATCTCTATCTTATTTATAATATTTATGATATTATAAAAGAAAATTGCAACTCTAATGAAACAGAGCGGTGAAATAATTGGTTGATACTTATGCTGGTCTACAATATTTACCCTTTTTTCACCATTAGATTTTTGGTGCTTTTTTTATTATAGAGATGTTATCTGTAAATATAGTACTCGTAATGTTGTTTCTGTATCACTGTAAGCATACAAAAATGATAGCATTTGCAGGTAATTATGTTATACTTATATATCGTAAGAAAGAGAAAATAAAATAAAAGTTGAATACTGAATGTGCTCTAAAGTAAATCTCATCTAAATAAATAAATGCATAAATGTGCGCCCCACATTCCTCATGGAAAAAATACATAATATTAATTTTTATGTATTATTATTTTTAGATTTGTTTTTTATTCTTTTAAATTCTCTAGATACACTTTTCATTTCTCCTCTCTTTCTTTTCAACTACTAAATATAGATCTATCATTTTTAATATAGATCTATCATTTTTAGTGTACATTATTGCAGTAAGTGGAATAAAGAGCAAATCTTTTGGCACATTTAAAATGTACAGGAAAGTCAGTTTTATCTGATGCGTTTTTTTCAATAGAAATATGTAAAACAATCTGAAAAAATTCATGTGTCTTTTTAAATCTTATTCTTTCTAAATAAAAATTAGAATAATAAATTTGCAAAATAATTTGCTTTAATATATTTTTATTGCAAATATATGAAGCAAAGTGCTCAAGGTGCATCACTATGAAAACATCGATAGAATAAAAAATAGATCGTATACGAAAAAATTATAAAAAATAGATCGTATACGAAAACATTAAAATCTTTACACTACATATTTGATATAGCATATTTGATATATTGATTTGTTTCATGATATATTGCAATAATTAAAGTATGATTACTGATATAATCTGCCATGAGACTACAGAGAAAGCCAGCTTTAATTCTTTATTTTGTTCAATATTTTTAATATAATAATTAAATTAAAGTTCTATGAAAATATGCTTGAAATACTAAATAAAAAAGATTGTTTCTTATGTACAACCAAGTACAATATCAAGTTTAAGTAAACAAAAAATCATTGTTAATGAGATACATATATAAATTGATAATTAAATAAAACAATTAATTAATTAATCGACACAATTTACGTTTTTTTTAGCTTTATGTGTAACATATATATATATATATATGTGTATATATATTTTTATAAATAAAAAAATGTTTCTTTCTAATATAAATTAAATAAAAAGTATAATATGCCTTTAAATACTTTATATTCACACCTATTTGTAATAAACCAAAGAATGCTTTTACATTCCTCCTTGTACTTTGGCATATATATCTTTTATGCCAATTATCTCGCAACATGCTTTTATCGCATGATGACAAACAAGCCCACTATTCTTCATGAATTTTCTTTACAAATATTTTTATATTCTCAAACTGTGTAAAGAAATCATGTAACACTGAAAAATACAAAGTGATATTAAAAGAGAAGAAATAAATTTTATATTATATAGTACTGACAAGTATTTTCTTACCAGTGTGTTCCTTATATGTAGGAATATACATTAATCTTTGACCAGCCCTATTTTTAATCGTCTTTAGGGATGCTTTGGCTTTTCATAACGCAAATCCAGCCAATCCATTTCCATTCCCATAAATTTACTATAAATGAATATATAATATATGAATATATGAATATATAATACATTTACTATAAATGAATTGATTCTAGTCTTACGTGCTAAATTACTGGTCATACAAGTTATCATTTTGTTTTCCAAAATCCAGGTTTCAAAACTTTCAAATGTATCTGCAAAAAACAAAGATATTAATTATATAAGGTTCTAATATTTAGAACTGAAACATCAGAAAAAAAAAAAATTGAAAATAGACATCATATCACATGATTTTTGTATGTATGTAATTTAACCATTATAATCCAATAATAGCATAAATATTAACCTTTTCCAATAAGATCTGATTCAATGCTTTTGCCATCCATTATAACACTCCTCCAACCACATTCCAATGGCGATAATTTTATTTGCATTGGCCTGGTCTGACTTTGTGGTAATTCCATAAGTTTTTGCTTTCTTTCAAAATTTACAAGCAGTTTCAGCTGTTGAATTAATTCTTTTCCTCTAAACACAGAAGTGTTCAGACCAGGAAATTGTATTGGAATTTTTCCCATGCCAATAATTTGCTCCTTATTTAGGTCTCTCTTTTCACTACTCTTCTTGCTCTACCTCTGCATCTTCCTGCATTACTGATACTTGTCACATCCTTTCATAATTCATGGTCCTATAGAACAAAAGCACAGTGAAATACAAACTATTTTCTACTGTAAATATAAACTATTATCAAAATGCTATTTCCATAAAAGTTCTACTTACTATTCGCAAAGAACATAGAGTTTCTCACATTATTTAATAAAGTGACTATTTTTAATAAATGTGAATGACTGACAAGCAATAAATTAAACAATATTAAACAATAATATATACCTGAAAAAAATTTCATAATTTTATTAGAATTAAATTGATAAAGATTAGAATTAAATTAATTTTAAATATACATATTACATGTTAATTACATATAATGATTTAGAGACAATGATATATTTCATTTGCGTTACCATTGTTTACAGATTTAACATTTTTATCAAAATATTTACAACTCTACAAATATGTAGCATATGACAAGCCATTTTTAAAATCTATAAAACAAACAACAAAATTGTTCATAGTTTTCACTCTGTTTTATCATAGTCTGCTTTTAGGCGATCTCTGAAAGCAATGCATCCTATAAACAAAAAATATAAACATGAACTACGTAGTCAAATCTACGAATGTTTTCAATGGGTAACATAATTTCGGATTATATTCCATGCCTCGTACACGAAATGTCGATAACATAATTAACGCAAAACATTTGTATATATTAAATAAATTTGTAATATAAATAAGTTTTGTGATCTCTCTCTCTCTCTCTATCCATTTATCTATCTATCTATCTATCAAGTATAATTATTAAAATATATTACCCGATATTATATTATATTATATATTAATCACACAGTATCTATCACCACCATCGCCATTATTATATGTAATTTAATATATACTACCGTTTAATTAAAAAAAATATTTGCCTCAATTAATTTCAATCAGAAAGAAGAATAAGAAACATCATAGATCACTTGGGTAATTCCTAAAGGCAATACGCCCTCTGAAATAAAATCGTGGACATGAACTACGAAGCTAAATCTTGAATGTTTTCAGTAGGTAACATTATTTTGGATTGTTTCGTCGATAACACAAGTATCGATAATTCAAAACGCTAAATTTTTAATACAAATCTAAAGTTTTGGGTGGTCTTTCTCTCCCTGTATTAATAATATAATTAATTATTAATATATTCCTTGATACAATATATTTATCACACATCATCCATCATCACCATCGCCACCGCCATTTTTACGTGATCTTTATCACGTAAAAATCTTATCAACGGTTCATCATTGAAAATAAATTATAACACAAAAAATATTCTAGTTTATTTTTAAATATTAGTTTTAAATATTAAATAATATAAGTATTAAAATTAAAATAAAAAATTGGCTCAATTAATAATAATTAAAAATTAACTAAACAATTGATAACTAAGAACCAATAAAAAGCGCGATAACTGGAGCACAAGAAAAATCCTTTCTCTTTTAATTATTAATATATTTAAAATTATTAGTATATTTCAAATTACTCGTCACAATACATACAATAAATATGAACGTTTCGGATTATCTTTTAATCTACCTTCAACGTGACATTAATATTATTACACATTCGAAAATATTAGACAATGACATATGAAAAATTATATAAATCAGATGCAGATAGCATTTGTAATATCTGCATGCCGATTATGAAACGATTTATATAATTTCATATTTATTCATATTTATATAATTTTATATGTTATTGTCTAATATTTTTTGAGTAATATAATGATACGCCGTTAAATTTCTTTTCTAGATGCGATCGCGATCAACACCGAAAATTATTTATTATAACTATATGATTAATTAACTTTTATAAATAATACATAATTAATATCTATATACAAATCGCGACAAAAATTCTCTATTGCATTTAATCGTAATTTATTCATTTAATCAACTAAGAATTATAGTAACAGAAATCTAAAATAATAAATTATTATTTCGATATGAAATCGATTTTTACGAGCAGAAATTATTTCTTTAGTATTTATAGATATTTATAGAGTCAAATACAATATATCTGCGATGCTTTATTTTTCAATCATTGAAATATTTTGAATTGTGAGAACGCACAATAAAATAATTGAATCATGAATCTAAACATAATGAAAGACTCCATACATCAATCTTTTAATAAATAATCCTATAATTAAAAAATCTATGTAATCTAAAATACTTTTATATACTTAAATATATTCCATATATACATATATGTATATATTAAAATACGTAAAATATTTCGATGACGAACAAACAATAACCGATCTTGGCGCCGTAATAGCGCGCTAATGTTTATATGCTATAGTCTTGAAAAATGTTTCGATAAAAAAATAATAATAACACGGTCTTTCGGACCGTGTTAACTTTTTCGGTTCTATTATTATTCGCGCGTCGACACTCAAAGAGTAAAGTAGTGGTATACAAGACGCTCCGTTAAATCCTTTTCTAGACGCGATCGCGATCAATATCGAAAAATTATTTGCTGTATTTATTATATTATATTATAATATAAAATATAATATAATATAATACAATATATTTCGATATGACGAACGAACAATAACACGGCGTTCGGCCTTGACGTAAACAATAGCGCGCTAGTCATACGGTCTTAGTATCATTCACAAAGCGACACTCAAGCAGTAAAGATCGTAGTGCGAAATATGTCGTATATTCTTATATGTTTATATGCCATAGTCTTGAAAAATGTTTCGGTACAAAAATAATAATAACACGGTCTTTTGGATTAATTTGTTCGGTTCTATTATCATTCGCGCGATGACACTCAAAGAGTAAAGTAGTAGTATAAGACCCGTTAAATTCTTTTCTAGACGCGATCGCGATCAATATCGAAAAATTATTTGCTGTATTAAAATATGTAAAATATAATATAATATAATATAATATAATATAATATGATATAATATAATAAAAATACGTATTGTTTACGCCAAGATTGATATTATTATCTGTTTGTCATCGAAATATCCTACGTACGTTAACATATTTATATTACCTTATATTGTAATATAAAATATAATACAATATATTTCGATATGACGAACGAACAATAACACGGCATTCGATCTTGACGTAAACAATAGCGCGCTAGTCGTACAACGTATGGCCTTCGTATCATTCATAAAGCGACACTCGAGCAATAAAGATCGTAGTGCGAAATACGTCGTATATTCTTAAATTAATTATTAATTAAACGATTGTTGTATCGTGACTTTCAATTATATTAAACTTTCGACTATAATCGTATTAATATACATGTATTGCATATATATATATCAATAATGAAAACAACAAATTCATTACGCGTAATAATTAGTTTTACAAAATGAATTATTTTGAGTTTTATAAAGAAGATTTATAATTATATATCTATTAATTATATATTATATTATATATAAAATTATATATAATATAACCCTCCCACGGGGTACACCTTGTCGCGGTGGGAGGGCTTAGTACTTGGATGGTGCCTTGAAGTTTATTTTAAATTTTTTAATTTAGAATAAATCTCAAGGAGCCTGAAGAGGAAGCTAAGTACCCTTTCGCGTCGTCGGTGCCGTCAACGTGTCGCGGATGGCGGCGTCTCGTTATCGTGTTTTCGCGTTTAGCTTTTTCGCGTCATCGCGTCATCGCGTTTTCGCGTTGGACTTTCTCGCAATCCCAATTTCATTTATTTGTCATCGAGTTGTCATCTTCCGACGTCAATTAACTGGGATGTTCATTGAGTCGTTGCTGCAACGATCTTTGTCTCACGCCTGGTGCAACGCGGCACTTAGGTGATGCCGGCGCGCATGCGGATGCCAGTACTGTGTATGTGGGCGCGCGATTTTGTGCTTTTGCTCAAAAGTCCGGCTGATTGAGGTCACGCTCTGCTTCTGGCTCCAGTTCGGTACGGATCGGTTAGGATTCGATCGATTGCTTGGAATCGTCGTTAATGGATCCCTTCTCTTGTTCCGTCTGAGATAGGATATTAGGCGCGGACAAGAGTCGAGTGAACTCCATTCGCGTTGATTCCATCAATCGATAGTTTTCTTCCGTTTCGGACTTAACTCTTGTTCGGAGATAAGATGCGTTGAATTCCCGACCTGTTGACTCGAAGATGACTCTTGTAAAAGTGAAACGGGATTTTCGCTCGTACCGAAACCGGGAGTGCCGTTTAAAGTATATATATATTAAATATATACATCGCGCGACAAAACATTTTTAATCGTATCGAATAGTGCGGGAGTGCCGTTCAGTATCGCGCGTAAAAGTACGAAAATAGCGATATAAAAATATCGTACGTGAGTGCGGGAGTGCCGCTAAAAGTATCGCGCGATTAAGACTGAGAGGAGGAGGAGGCCTAGGAGAGGCATCGAGCTTCGGCAGAGCAACCGTCTGGTAAATAAATAGTTTATTTATTTGCAATTATATATATATATATATATATAAATTAAATATTGAATATATTTATTATATTTTAAATTAAGCAGTTAATCGTAATTTGATTTTTTTATTCATATGATTTAAATACGAATTTTAAAGTAAAAGATTTTTATATAAAATTTATAATCTTGTAAAGGTTTTATAAAATTATTCAAGAATTATTAGTAATATTTTATTTTATTAATCTGCTATTATTATATGCGTCGGATATAAAATTCAATGCATACAATAATTTTTAAAATATTAATTATTTTGAACATTATTACAATTTAGATCTTCTATTTGTATGTTATAGATCGACGCAACAACCCAGATGATCTGAGAGGAGGAGCAGGCCTAGGAGAGGCATCCTGCACCAGCGGAACAACCTGATGGTGAATATTATTATTTATATTAATTGTATATAAATGAATTAATTAATTTATTAATTTGATTTATGTGAATGATTTAAACAAGAAAAATTGGGAAAATTTTTGTAATATTTCTTTCTATATAATTCTTTCTAAAGGTTCTACTTGAAAAATTAATTAATTATAAAATTATTTTATATTTATATATCTATTTATAATTGCGCACATCGGACATAAAATTCAATGAATCCAATAATAAACTTCTTAAAATATTAATTATTTTAAACATTGATGTAATTTGCATTTTATATTTGTATGTTACAGACAACGTAGCTTCAATATCAATTCCGCTGTTGCGCATCAGTGCCGGTAAGTGACAACCTTTTATTTTGAAGCAAAGGATTTATAAATGCATGAAGAAATCCATTAC